TCGAAACATATATTTCATCCGTCATGTTCTCTGTTCTTGTGAACGGATCTCTTGTTGGTTTCTTTACGAGCTCTCGAGGTTTGAGACAAGGAGACCCCTTGTCATCTTTTTTATTCCATATAGTCATGGAGGGTTTGGGCAAACTAATGAGGAGAGCGGAAGATTTGGGTTATATCAGGGGGTTCAGAGTCGGCAGAGATGTAGCTCATCAGATAGAGATCTCCCATTTGCTGTTTGCGGATGATACCCTGGTTTTTTGTGATGCCAATGTCTCCCAACTTAGATATTTGAGGTGCATTCTTGTTTGTTTCCAGGCGATGTCTGGGCAAAAGATCAATGTTGGAAAGAGTGTGCCTATCCCGGCAGGGGATGTTCCAGATATTTCCTCCTTAGCTACAGTTCTTGGGTGTGGGGTGGGTGTCCTTCCTATTCCTTATTTGGGATTGCCTTTGAGGGTTTCCTCTAGGAAGGTGGGGAGCTGGGATCCGGTGATCAATAGGTATGAGAAGAGGTTGGCACGATGGAAGAAACAATATCTGTCGAAGGGGGTGAATGTCACTCTTATTAAGAGTACTCTCTCGTCCCTTCCTACTTATTTTTTTATCTTTGTTTCAACTCCCCTACTCTGTCGCTGAAAGGTTTGAAAAAATTAACAGGAACTTTCTATAGGGTGGAAGGGGGGACGAGTTCAAGTATCATCTTGTTAACTGGGAGCAAGTTTGCAAACCCTTGAAGTTAGGCGGTTTAGGCATCCGAAAGTTGGTTCCTTTTAACAGAACTTTATTGGGAAAGTGGTTATGGAGATTCAATAGGAAACGACATCGTCAGTGGAGAAAGATTGTCTCGTATCGGTTTAGGAGGAGAGTGGTGGCTGGTCCTCCAGTCCAGTCTCTGTTGCAGGAGGCGTCGGGGTGTTGTTGGGATGTCTTTTCCTCACACATCAAATTCAAGGTTCGTGATGGTAGGCGTGTCCACTTTTGGGAGGATTTATGGTGTGGAGATCAGTTATTGTCTTATTCCTTTCCTAGACTTTACAGTATTGCCGAACATAGGCACGCCTATGTAGCTGACTGTTATCGGCTTGATAGCAGTGGGTTACGTGGGATGTGCGTTTTAGACGTTCTTTTCAGGATTGGGAGATGGACAAGGTATGTGTTTTTTTGGATTTGTTGTATCAGCAGAAGGATGTTGGCAGAGGTAGTGATGACATTTTATGAGTCCCTTCCACTCATGGTAGATTTGGTGTTCGGTCCATGTTCTTTTGTTTGTCCAATTTCGATAGTCATGATTCCCAATTGAAGACTATATGGCATTCTAAGGCTCCACTTAGAGACGCATTCTTTGTTTGGACTGTCGTATGGGGCAAGACTTTGACGCTGGACAATTTGAGAAAGAGAGATAACACTATTGTTAATTGGTGCTGTCTATGTAAAACAGACGGTGAGTTTGTGGATCACATTCTTATGCACTGTCCTGTAGCGTATGATTGTTGGAACCTCATCTTCAGCATTTTTGGCGTACATTGGGACCGGGTAATGCCTCAGTCCTCCATAGGACTGATTAATACGTGGAGAGGATGCCCAATGAAAAGTTACGCTCGTGACTATTGGAGGACAGTTCCACACTGTGTTTGGTGGTGCATATGAAGAGAGGAATAGCAGAAATTTCGAAGGAAAGGAAGCGTCTTTGGCGACCTTGAAAATTCATATTCTTCATTCTATTTTCTATTATGTGAAAGGAAGCGCTTGCTCCTCGACTGATGACTCAGTTGATCTTTTGGACTCTATTGGTCCTTAGGTCCAACTTTCGTTTTTTGTATTAGGGATGCATTCCCCTTTTGAACGCTCTTCTAATTGAATTTTACTTATCAAAAAAAAAAAAAAACTTCATGGGTAAGCATAACCACACAAAAGAAACTAAAAAAAGGCCAGGAATCAAAGGCATCTAATGCTCAAAAGCGTGCATAGAGCCATAGACTTGACAAATAACTCAGTCTCTCTGGAATGCCACATTGCAGTTAAAGGTCTGGGAAATCCATCTCAAATCCCACAGCCAGCAAAAAAAAATTTATAGATATATTTGAATATGGCTTTTCTTTTTATATCCCTTTTCTATGTGGTCCGTTGACCAATAAGATTGTACCATGCAAACAAAAAGAATCCAGTAAGCAATACATTTTTCATGTTAGCAACTCAAGCAGTACAGTAAACACCATGTAATCCCTATAGGAAAAGTATCGCAGAGATGAATTTTAACCATTGGATTTGTCAAACTAATCTACCACTTTTACATTGTAATCAACTGTTAAAATCTAGATGACTGCAGGTGTACCCACACATTCACAGAAATCCATACTACTATGACATCAAGGTCAAGTAAAATCATGGAAACCAGTTTAAGTTCTACTCTACATGACCTATTAGGGAACTCAACTAGAAATAACTGTTGCAATCTGCAAAATTTTCTACTCCTTTTAACATTGAAACGGTAGTGTCGGTGGTTGGGCTTCACTTTGCGGACTTGTGGGCTCATCTATTTTATAAGATACTTAGGCTTGGATTGGTTTACAGTTTTTAATAGGTCTATGTCCATCTTGACCTTTCAAGCATAACTGTTTCCCCACTATAAGTTTAATCTTGGATCATTGATACAAGTAATTTACTGGAAAATTTTAAAAGATTGAACGAATTGAGGAAGATAGTCCTCCAATGCTTTTGTGGGTTTAGAATGGTGTACACCCAATTCCTACGGAAACTAGGTGCGTAGCCCAAGCCTTTCTAGATCAAGAATAGGACCCTTCTTGCCTAATCTGAATCCAATACCAATTCAGTGTTTGATATTTTCACTCCTTTACAGCTAGGAGGGTTGGGCCTTAGGCGATTAGGTTGTTCAACAAGGCTTTGTTGGACAAATGGCTTTGGAGGTTCGGGAGGAGAGTTATATTGTGTAAGGTGGGGGAGGCGAGAGGTGGTTGGACCTCTAAAGAGATGCGGGCTCTGGTTGGGGTGGGGGATTTGGAATCTCATTCGGAAGGTTTGGAATGAGTTTTCCAAGCATATTCGATTCAGGGTAAGGAGTGGGAGGCTTGCTTGGTTTTGGGAGGACTCTTGGTGCGAAGATAGATCGCATGAATCAACTTTCCGCGGCTCTTCAAGATTGCTTTGAACAAGCAGGCTCTAGTTACCGACTGTTATAAGCTTGATGTGGGAGGGTGACTAGGTATGTGCAGTTTGAGGGGAATTTCCATGATTGGAAATGAGAGGAGGTCACAGAATTCTTGGCCTTGCTTCACTGTCAGGATATGGAGGGGGAAGGTATTGGTGAGCTGATTTGGTCAGGTTCTCGGAGGGTGGTTAATGAGATGTGCACATTAATCAGTGTCTTTTGGATAGCCAGGGGTTTTCTTCCTTGGAAGGCCGTTTAGAGATTGAAAGCCCCCATGAAGGTGGATTTTTTGCATGATCAGTAGCCCTTGGAAGGTTATTGATGATTGACAACCTCAAGAGGAGGCGTCAGATTATTTTGAATTGGTGTTTCATATGCAAGAAGGATGAGGAGTCGCCAACCATCTTCCCTTGCACCGTCCAGTGTCGAGGGACTTCTAGGCCATTTTTTTGCACTTTTCAGAGTTCATTAGGTTCTTTCCAATTCCATTGTGGATGTGATTGAAGCTTTGTGTGTGTGTGTGTGTGTGTGTGTGTGGGGGGGGGGGGGGGGGGGGGGGGGGGGGGGGGGGTGGGGGTGTTTTACAGTGGGTAGCCAGGCCAGAGATGCTTGGAGGGCCATACTCCTTTGTTTATGGTGGGACTAGTGGCAAGAGAAAAATACGAGATCCTTCAATGGGTAGGAAACTCTGATTTGGTCTCTCAAACATTCTATATTGAGTTCTTTATTCTATTGGGTCAATGGGCACTATTGTAAATCTTAGGAGAAATTAGTGGATTTTGTAGATAGCTTGAAAGTGGGCGTGCTCCCCTCTTGAGTGTTATTAATGAAATTTTACTTAACAGAAAAAGAAGATGAACTTATTTCCTCATTCCAAGAGGAGGTCCTACATCAATCTAGTGTTTTCGCACAGGGTGAGAAGCAGCTGTTTTCAAAAAGCTGAAAAAATTCAGATTCGTAGAATGGATTAGGTGCATAAGGTTGCGTTTAATAAGTGCATCTCCTACCACCTAAATTATCTCAATGAGATGCCAAGATTACACTCAATGCAACTCAGCTAACAGCAAAGAAGACTACCAATGCTTTGCTTTTTCTTTGTTCCTTTTTCTGCTAAATGAAGAAGACAATCTGTGTTAAACAAGCTAGTCCAATAAATGAGGTTCCTGCCATTGCAAGGTCTAGGGAGGGTTAGATGTATGCAGCATTACCTCTGCATGTGAAGAGGCTATTTCTCATTTCGAACCTGTGTCCTCCAAGTTACAATGGAGCAATCTGTGTAAAACAACCGTCAACTAAAAATCCTATTAACACAACAGCCCAAGCAATAGTAATCCCTTGGATTGTAAATAATTATCAGTCCCCTTAAGATTACATCGTCATTAAAGGAGTTAAGCAATACCACTTCATCCCCATTAAAAATATGGAAACGGCTAATTGTAATTCATGATAACCATGTTTCTACGATGCCTGTATACAACTTCAAGACTATTCGTACTCACTACAGTTACTAAAATGGCACCTACAAATAGTATTTTAATAATGCAAAGGAAATATGGTATATCACAATTGCTCAGTTAGATACGCTAGTATCTTTTCTTTTAGGCTATTGTCTAAACTGATGCATAGACAGGTTTAGTAAGTTGACTAACAGTATAGTCACCTCTTGCCTTCAATAATTTTCAAGAGTTCACGTGTAAATAAGAAGAAAAAGATAAGAGGGCAGAATTAACAACAGACGGTAAGCATAAAAAATAAAAAGAAAGCGCTTCTTTAAAATTATAAAAAGAATAAAAGTAAAGAAATAAAGAAATAAAGAACCAAAAACTAGGGCATACCAGTCCTCGGGAAAGTAAAGCAGAAATAAGGAATAGCAGTGCCCCCATACGGCTTCGGAAGACAGGAATCAATGCTTCAAGCCTTTGTAATGCACTCGCCTTTGAGGTGTATGTGTTAACTTTCAAAATTTTCTGCAAATCAGAAGCTGATTCAATTGAAACACCTTCGAGTGCGTTTGCAATGATCTGTGAGATGGGACATAATACAAGTCAGAAATTTTTAACATGCAGAACAGCGAGTTCAGCAGAGTGATTGCAGCCATCAGGTCTCCATTTGAACCCAGTGCCCAACCAGATGCTAAAGAAGTGAATTAGAATCAACTTATAAGCAATTTACCTCATCCTTCATTGAACTGTCTTTAGACTGACCAATGCCATGGTCAGACATACTGAGAGTTGCAATAACCACCCCTTTGTTACTTCCACATAGAAACAATATCTCACCCATACTTCTGATCAAGGCCCTGCGAAAGAATTTGCAAAAGATTTCAACAGGTGTTGTCCTAATAGGCAAAACAATTAAAGAATCATGGCTATGAAAACATCCACCACAAACCCACATGAATTAACATTACTTACCAGCTGATCTTACAGAACAAACTTATAAATCCTGAAAACTTATGGAAGTAGAAATTAACTCCTTCAGATAATTAAGGTTACATCTTATTTATTTATTATTATTTGGTGTGGGGTGTGTGTGTGTGTTTTTTTTTTTTTTTTTTGGGGGGGGGAACTGAAACCTTAAAGTATATCTGGTGCAAAAACGTAGCTCCAAGCCTCATGTTGATGCAAAAGTGAAACCAATTCACATAACTTGCAGGACAAAGAAGAAAAGAAGATTCAACGAAGAGGAATTATTTACACTATAAACTATAAAGATGAAGAAATATTTATCAACAGAAAGTCCCACGCCAAAATTCCATATGTGTGCCTACCAGCTATGCACAAAATAAAATAAAATAAATAGAAATAAAAATCCTATATGTAGAAGGAACCTTGATATTAGCAGGAAAGAAAAAAATGCTTCAAATATTTAGGTAGATAGCTACTGGAAACAAATTGCAAGACCCAAGAAAGGATTAATAGTTTCAGACTCGAAAGGATTTTATTACAAAACATCATATGTGAAGTTCAGTGGGTGATATGTGACATGTAGTATGTCCCAGTTATGAAAATCAAAATCCCAATTGCCAATAAATGAGAATTACTATAAAAAGATTAGAAGTAGTGTTAGCCAATGAATTATAAGTTCAGGTCATTGGTGTTAGGGTTAAAAGTAAATAGAATTGCAGAAGAGGATCAATGAATGAAAGAAGACAGAAGCAGCTACGGGAAGGAATTTACATATGTTTTTAAGCAAGAAAAACTTCTTCAATCACTATAAGGTGCAACTAAAGATGAAAATTAAGAGATATGTAACTTCGAAATGGAAAGAGAACAAAAACTAACAGTTTTTACTGATCACAAGGTACATTCGTTTAACTATTTGTCGTGGTTTCTAAGCAACATCGAATTCCCAACCTAAAAATAAATAAAAATACTAAGTACTGACCTTCTCTGAGGTTAGGCATAACTACATATGGTTCCTCTCTAGTTCATTGTCACTAACCTTCCCTGAGGTTTTACTTTGTGAAACAGATCCCCCCCGTCACGGTCATTGGTAATCAACATCATTTTCTGCTTTCTCAGCAAACTGAAATTTCCAAAGGCCAGTTTGTCCTTGAATACATGAAAAAGATATTATTAACCTTGTTAAGTCACGCAAGGTACTTAAATACCCTATTTTAACAAAGAACATTACAAATATACCCTCATTTACAACAATCCTCATCCTTTACTTCTGCTTCTTCATTTTGAGAAACCCTAATTTATAAATATATACCTAATTTACATATACCTTATATAAATTCATAAAAGTACAAATATGTAAATATATGCATGTATATATATATATATATATAGTTGATAAGTAAAAAAAAAAAAAAAACATTTTTGCATATATATACTTATACATACATACATACACTTGTATGCATAAATACATATACTTGTGCATACACATACATATACAACGTGTATTTATATATATATATATACACTTATATATACATTTTTTTAAAACTCTTCTTATATAAACTTTTACCACATCTTTATATATACAGAGATATGCTTTATAACATACTAAGTGTTCTTCATTCACAAACGAAAACCCATAATTAATAATCAAAACAAATCTCACCAATCTCTTTCTCAATTTAAAAGCTCATACAGTTATGGTGGAGGATTATGTCCACCTCACCCAAAACACAAATAGTATTTACAAAAGGAAACAATTTCAATCAAATAAAGCTTTCACATAAACAAACAAATATTAATCAGTAAAATATTCAAAATCTAAGGTACCCTGGCTAAAGAGGGACAGGGATCTTTTATGTGGAAATAGAGAGAGAAAGTAGAGAGGAAGAGATCAGAATAGAGGGAGTGAGAAAACTGTAGATGAGGAAGGGCTGGGGTGGTTGTTGGAACAGCTAGCATTTGTTGGGATGTGGTCTCCCAATTGCTAGAAGTACTCCTTTGATGTGATCACCAGCAATGATCTCAATGACCAACAAGAAAATGGCAAAGATAATGCTAGATAGTTCATCAGCGGAACAAGATTCTATAAAACATAGGGACAGCAACAATAGCGACACCTGTTTCTTCAACATCAAGTGGTTCTGCAATTCAAGCACAGGCGTCTGTGTGTGCACGCGTGTTGTTGTGTATATGAATGCCCCTATTGTAAGGGGAGACAATTACACAAAGAGGGAGCAATTGGTACAAAAGGAAAATAAAGAGTAAAATAAAGGACAGGATAGTTCTTTTAAGTTATATTTGACCCCTTTTTTATTTTTGAGAAAGAAGTATTATAATAAGTTATGGGTAAAAACACAATTTTAAGCGTTTCCATTAACTGCGTCTAACAGAGTTCACTGACAGGGGAGGTCAGTTTTAATTTTCAAACTAGAGGGAGGTCCCTGTAATTATGCCTAACCTTAGGGGAGATCTGCATAATTTATCCAAAACAAAAAAGAGTTGGATGATGTATGCTGTGTGATGGAGGCCAAACAGAATGGCTCAAAGAGAGAAGGAGACTTTATAGCATAGCGGTTACCATAGAAAATTCAAGTCGGTGCCTAATTTTGGAGGTAACAGTAGTTATATAAGTATATTCAGCATGATGGGGATCATTTTAAAATTTTATAAGCAAAGCCCAGAATGGCACCAGGCTTGATTAGTAAAGGTATCATTTTCTCTGGGGTAGGTAAGTTGAATGTTAAATAAGGGCAGTGCTACTCTTCAGGATTGAGGATCTCTCCATTTTATCCTAGACCCAAAATGATCATCACCATCTTTATTTTCAGAAATGGTATGTGCTAAAGGTTCATTACCTGACATGAGATTAGCACTTATTTTTTTAGTTTTTGTTTATCTTTCCAGATAGCTGTAATGTCTTCAGGGTATGTTGTTAACAAGCTAAAATAAACAAAGTAAATTGGAAGGATAAATCACCTTGATTTTGTATCTTCAGCTAGAGAAGCAAAATCCGATGCAACACTTGCAGTTTTAGCCAATATCGTTGAACCCATATTTCGCGCCATGTTTGGTGCAACTTCACCTAATTCTTCTGGAAAGAACAGAAGGTATTTGAGAACAAAGGCCTGCACAACCAAACAGAAATTGTTGTAACATCAACATACATTACAACAAATATTCTGAATGATCATAAAATATAAAAAAAGATCAAGTAGACAGCATAATCAATTGCATCAGGGAAAATATATATATATATATATATTAATTGCATAGACAAAATTATCATTTAGTCTCATCAAACAGTGTCAGATGCACAACAATTCAAAATATATAACATGTAAAAATAAATTTACGAAAATAATAGCCATTGAAGGAGTGAAAAAGGCAATGATGAAAAAATATGGTTAAGAACTAGTGAAGAAATGTTAAGGACCTTTATTAGTCATCTAATAACCATGAGATATGGAATAAAGACATAAACTATCAGGGAATAGCAGGAAGAAATACCATAGCTAAATGAAAAAAGAATAAAGATATTTTTATTGAAAGCTTCTACTTTAAATACTCCAGATATGAGCAAGATACCATAAGTGGGACAAACTATCTATGATATAGTAAATGGAGCGTGGAATATACGCTCATGCTATAGATAATTATATTATTTTGACTTATCATGTATTAGTAACTGCTACAATATTATTACTTAAAAGATTACTCAATCCAACTGTCTTGGCTTAAACTTTGATCAAAAATATTCAGTCCCCTGGGGTCCATTTGGTTAGGAAGATAAAGATGCTAGAAAGTGAAAGTACTAGAAAGTAAATTGAAAGAAAATGGAACAAGTTTTTTCGTTTGTATTTTAGACATGATGACAAATTTTCAAGAAAACTGTGAGAAAATTCTATTTTACAGTCTAAAACATGGAAGTTCGAATTTTTTTTTTTTTTATCTTATTCATAATAAACATAAAGTAAGTCCAAATGGATTTGTATTAAATCAACCCTCTTTACCCAATTCATTATCCTGCTGTTTTAGAAAAATAAAAAAATACTAAAAGTCAATATTATCTAATTAAATTTTAAAGAATAAATAAAGATTCCATATAGTGAGACACATGCACACTGCTGATATTATTAGCTGCAACATAAAGTGTGGGAAAGTTGCACAAAAATCATGCATTACTTGGACCTCATTTTATGTTGTAGCTTTACCTTAGTTGTGATATATTTGATAAAGGAAAAAAAAAAAAAATGTGTAACCAATCATTACATAAAGTGTGGGAAAGTTGCACAAAAATAATGCATTACTTGGACCTCATTTTATGTTGTAGCTCTACCTTAGTTGTGATACACTTGAAAAAGAAAAGGTGCAACCAATTATTTTGATACCAAAAAAAGTTGGGAACTTGTAACACTGTGTCTGTAATTATATGAAATTGAGAAGAGAAGTTGTGGAAAGAAACACTAGGTATAATAGTACACTAAAATGCACAAGGACCACATTCACGGGAAGGGGACATTTACTTGTTTTTATGCGGAGAACATTTTTTGAGAAAATTACCTATTACAAGAGAAGGGGAAAACCAGATTGAATTACCAGTGTAGTTGGTTATTTCGCAAGATTAAAATATATTGTAAATTTCTGAACCTTCCTAGCATAACATTTGCATCAGAGAATTCAATACTTCATTATCTAATACATCCATAAGGTCCAACCTAAGTTCCACACAATCTTTTTAGGGGTGAACTTACACAATTAAACTTGGACAAAGATAGCATAAAGACTGGGTCAACATTGTGCCATCACAATTGTTGTGCTATCCCAGCCCATGGCCACCCTTGTTAGACTTTCCAAATGGCAGAGCATTCATAAATTCATTGAAGAGAAATTTGTTAATCAAACATAAATATAAGGATACTCTGTAAATATATTTTACACATAAATTATATATCAAGAATATAATAGATTTATAATTTGAAAAAATTTGAAAATAACAGGACAGCATAACAATTGTTACCTGACACTGAAAGAAATACTTAAATAACATGAAATAAATTTGTTTTCAAGTCACAAAATTTTGGAATTCAATGAACCTAAACAGGATTCAGTCTAGATTCTGAACAGTAATTAAAAAACATAACAAAATAAAGTATAATACCTACATATTTGAGGCCCAAAATCTTGAAATAAATAACTTGTAATACTAGTATATTCTACATGAACTTTCAACAAATTGAACTATAAAAGTTATAGTAAATGAAAGAAGTCGTACTAAAATTAATTAACATGAACTCAAATTTTATAGGACTTCCTAATCGCACGTGATCATATGTGATGAGCACCACAAGAGCATCATCCCTCAATAGCAAAATTATTTGAGGCACCATAACATTGAGTATGGCTCTGGTATGTAATATCCATCATTCCACTATCCACAAAGATTCTCCAAAATGAATGAAAATCAAGTTGAAATGAATATACAACCATGCATCAATTTACATCATTAATGAATAAATTTGTTTTGAATTTTATGAACTTACAAGAATAAATTCCACTTCCTTGGAGCTACCAAAGTCTCAAGCCACTCATTCAAATGCAATTAATAATGTATCAAAATTGTAGTAAATTGTATTACAAATTAGCCAGTTCACAGAACATTTCTAACTTTATTGTAGTAGATACATGATATGACACACTATTTTAGTGTATGCCTAATCATCAATAGATTATGTAGATCACATCACTCTTTTGCTTGTCATGTGTACAACAAAACCTCAATACATTTTTGCTGAAAATGTGTTATGCGTGTGGAGTTAAAGTAAGAAATCAATGCATTACTTGTATGGCTGCCAACACACCACATGGCCCACCTTCATGCTGCACTAAGCCCATGGATGTTTCTGGATCAGGGCTAAACCTATAGGAAAGTTATACATATTATTAGCAAATAAAGGGTATAACATCATAAATAAAAGTATGATTTATGTTCAATCATTTATAAGAACACAAACGGAAGAAACAGTAATCCATAGAAAGAAAATGATCAAATGTTCAACCAGATGAAAGAAACCTATTCTTATTTTTTCTACTGGTGATTAATAGACAGACATGATATCGAATTCATAACTGATAACGGGAATATTTTTTTTCCCTGAGGGCCAAGGTGTGGTACAAATTGATAGTGGAAAGAGACAAAAATAACAATAGCTAACTCGATATCTACAAATACTAAGATCATTCAGTTATTATATTTATTTGATAATTGTTCTTAGTAAAAATGATTTCATAATATTCATCTTATATTTGATCAGGCATGAATAATTATCACCAAAGCAACATAACTCATATATTTGACAATGTGAAGTACAAGTGCAACTTCCAACCATACCTTTTGTGTTTGAAATGGTCTATTGTTCTGTACCTATTTCATATGATGGTATAGATATTCGTAATGGCATTTAACAGCACTATAAATGATATTTGAAACCAATTTCATCTCAGGAAGTACTCATCTATGTTTTCACAAGTACCTTCATGCTTCTAAAAAACCCTGTTTGTTTCCTTATTCTTGTATGTCCATATGCGAGAGAGTATAAAGAAGTGCTAGATTTTCCACAAAAAAAAAAAAAAAAAACTAAGAAGAATGTATCATAATTTCAAAGAATAACCCATGCTCTAAACAACATAATGGAGACAAATGGCAATTCCCTTTAAAAGTAAAAAAGAAAAGGCATGGACAGGATACTTTTAACGACCAACCTTTGATCTGCCTATTTATGATGAAGGGCCACTTAGGATGCTGCAAAATTAGGTTTGAGTCTATCTGATTATAATTTTATACTTCCGTAAATTTGTTGGTCACTTCCACATGTTAATTTTTTTGTGTTTCTGGCATGAAGGTTATTGTCGTAATTTAAGACATGGATTGTAATGTGGTCAATGGATCGTGTTTTGAGTAAAGTTGCAAGCTCATGGTATTGGGTTTTATTTTGAACTTTAGAAGGTTTATACAGTTATCTTGTCAAAGTCTTTTAGTTTCTATAAAAGGCCATAAACCATTTTAGAATTTTCTATATATGGAGAACAAATCCTATTCGAGTTTGGATTAACTAGAGGTCTCCATTGTTATTTAATTATTTCAATTAAAAAAATACGCTTTAGAGAAATTCTGAAGAAATGAAAATTGGTCCCAAAATTCTCCTTTAATGTTGTTAAGTCATTGTTTGTATGAGTGTTGCTTAGCAATTGTCCTACATCACAATATGTACTCATTTTGGGGAACAAAAGAACAAATCTTGCATAATGCTCTTCAATTTTCACTTCAATGGGAGGTCAAGGGTTCAAGCCTCCATGGAGGCATGTGTGTGTGAGTACCAATTATGAAAAAAAAAAAAAAAATTCACTTCAATGATTTTGACACTTTAAAAATGTCATACATATAACATTTCCACTTTATTGAATATCATTACCTAATGCTGTTCCTGCATAACTTTCAAAGATCAAATCCAAATTCCATTTCATAGAGTCATCAAGTAGTTCAATAATGTCACAAAAATTTCAGCTTCTGAAGTTCATAAATGGGACATGACAGATGGCAACAATTACAATTGTTGAAAGAGGAAACAGAAGAAGACATGAGAAACAAATAGGAAGCCACAGCTGATAGAGTAAACACTTTCTGGAATAATAAATACACAAGAAAAAAATTATGTCAACCAAAATTCCATGGAAGACAATGAAATGAAAACCCTAGAAGTTCCTGTTGACCTTTTTACACAGACTTCCAAAAGGATTGAGCTACTAAGGATGAAGAAAGCAAATTTGCAACAGAAAAAAAAGTTCAGAGACAAGCTAATAAAATTTCATATAGAGAAAACTTGTCTTGAAGGTAATGTTCTTGAGAGAAGGCATAGAACCATGAAGGGATGGAACTGACGTTCATCATCCCAAAAGTTTTCAACCATGTGAAACAGCATAATATCTGCAAATGGGTAGTGAAGGCAATATGAAGTGTGGAAGTAAAATCCTTTCAAAAATGTCACAACAACATGATTTTCTCCATATTATAGAAATCGGTTTTCAAGCTAAAAACATATATTATCTCCATTCTATGCAGCAGTAGGAATCATGCATGATCAACTCAAGCTATCTTAGAAATAAGAGACCACAAAATCTTAGAGATGCAATCAAATTCAGCATAACCATCATGTAACGCTCAGTGCAATGCTGTTGTAGAGGGTCAAGATCATCTATTAGGTATAAAGAAAGGCCAAAGATATGAGATTAAGAATCCAGTGTAAAGAAACAAAATTTATTGGTAATTCTAGGAAATGTCAAATTATAGGCAAAAAAAACTTAGCATTCGACATTATAAGATCAAAGAATACACAACAAATTCAATTATGCAATACCATACCTAATCCCCTGATTACACCACTGTGCAAGTATATCCCTAGTCACTTCACCTCCGAAAACCATAGAAAATAATTGAATTGCCTCCGCCAGTGGAAGTTCCTCCCCAGAATTTCCATTTTCCCCCTTACATTCCTCCAAAACTTTTTTTTCTTCAGCTCTACTACCACAACTTTTCTCATCCTTAGCCCCCGCCACACTCTTCCCGACCTTGGAGGCCAAACCTTCCGTCACCGGCACAGGCACAGAGGCAGCGTTCTTGGCTTCCATCATCCGCTTCTCCGCCGCAGCCGCCATCAGCTCACGCTGTAACTTCCGAGTCTTGACCTCCGGTGACTCCTCTGGCGACGTCGCCGGACCCCCAACCACGCCTGCGTTTTCCCTTGGTTTGCTCCTCTTCGGCTCCGGTGGCTCGTGTTGCATGCTCATCCTCAACGCCATCCGCAAATCCTCCTCGTCTTGATCCGCCATTGAGATTTTCTCTCTCAAATCCCCCACTTTCTCTCTCTAACGAATCCAAAAAAACAAAATTCAATCCTCTGCTAGCCTTAGAAAGTTAGGGCTTCGATTCGATTCGATTGTTTGTAGATCGATATTTGTGCATACATGTAACAACAATCTACAATCTTCTGCAAGCCTGTGAAAGTTAGGGCTTTGCAGATCGATATATGTGCATATACATATATGTACAGATCAAATGAAACACAAAATTAAAATTCACACATATATATATATGTGTGTGTGTATAAAATACAAATATAGCTCGTGATCGAGCAAACAATTTGTAGAATCGAAATTCAAAGCCCCAGGAGTGTTACATACCTATATATATGTGCGTGTATATACGACACACATATATCTGTAATTCTGTATATAATTGAAATTAGAATCGATTTTAAATTTTCAATTTTCAATTTTCAATTTGACCCTTAAAAATGGTTGGTTCGTGCATCGGAACGGCATCGTATTGGCGCGCATTTTGAGTTCATTATTTATTAAAATGACTATTTCATCCATCTATATTGTGTTGATTATGCTTATAACTTCTAGTCAATTTAAGAAAGTAGACGGTTTTTCAGTCATTGTCAATTGAAACAAGGACGGAGGAAACGTATGCTTTGGGTGGAAGAATCTTTACTACTGTGAATTAAAATGGAATTTGATTCTGTGCTATGAGTGAGTTGGTGAATATTGCACCCGGCTTTTTGTCACTTCTTAATAGCCGTTGGATCATTGTTGTCTTCAGGTCCCAGACTGCATTTCACTTCCAATGACTTCGTAAAAACGAAAAACACACATTCAATTTCATGAGTAGTCAAATCACTATTTCCACACTTTAAAAAATTATTTTTGCAACAAATTATGAAATTCACGGCTTAAATTGGAATAAAGTATTTAAAAACTATTTTTTATTTTATTTTATTTTAAAAATAAGGATTCACAATAAAAAAATATTTAATTCCTTCGTTTGTTCTAAATGGTCGATATTGTTACTGTTAGTAATGTGACAGTGTGTGTTTTTGCCACAAATTATGAAATTCATGGCTTAAATTGGAATAAAGTATTTAAAAAACTATTTTTTAATTTCTTTTATTTTATGAAATTCATGGCTTAAATTGGAATAAAGTATTTAAAAAACTATTTTCTAATTTCTTTTATTTTAAAAATAAGGATTCACAACAATAAAGTATTTAATTCCTTCGTTTGTTCTAAGTGGTGGATATTGTTACTATTAGTAATGTGACAGTGTGTGTCAATTCGATCACTTGTTTAGAGCCCGTTTGGCAATCATTTTTGTTTGGTATGTTTTTTGTTTTGATTTAAAACAAAAGTAATATTTCTACTTTAGAGTATGTTCAATAATATTCGAAAGTGTGTTTTGTAACTTTATATTTGTTACAAGATTTATGAAAGCAAAAATGTAATAACATGCTTCGTAAAAAAGCATTGCAGGATTGAAAAATAAAATAACTAATTAAAAATGTCGCGAAAGCAACCAGAAACACCAATTTGGTGCTTCTGTTTTTACCACTTTTTCAAAAACGTTTCGCAATACTATTCAAATCGCAACAAACGTTACCAAACACACTTATGTGTTTTGCTTCGTTACAATACACACTTATGTGTTTTGCTTCGTTACAATACACTACCCAAAATAAAAAAAATAAAAAAACATGAAGTAGAAGCCATTGCTAAACAGGTCTTGATTGCCATTTTTTTTTATATTTTAAAGAAAATTCAAGTGTTACTTAGATTTCATCAAATATTTTTGATGTGCTGTGGATTATTTAATTTTAAATTTTCTTTTCCTTTTTTTAAGAGTTGTTGAGAATAATAATCTAAACCAAATATGCTGTTATTTTGCTGAGTTTTTTTATTTTTGGGTGTTTCAACTGTAATTTTTTTTTTTTCCCCGAACTGTAACTATAAAAATATTTTTGAGCCTTAATTACCCGGGAAAAAAAAACATATTAGTGAGCCTTCCAAAGTAGGGCGCGAATCACCTGCAGTGAGGTTCCCATGCGGCTTCCTGCTATAACTTTTAAGTGGTCCATATTTGGCTACATCATTCTTCAGTTAACGGACACTAAGGCCGTGTTTGGCCAATTACACAACAACATTTCACTACCATTTATAAGTAACATCACAGAGTCTAAAAAGTAACATCACCATTTGTAAAAGGAAATATCACCACTTTTAATTTCAAATAACACTACCATTTATAAGTAACATTTCACCGCCATTTATAAGTAACATCACATAATCTAAAAAGTAACATCAGCACCATTTAAGTAGCAATTACACCAATATTTATAAGTAACATTTCACCACCATTAATAAGTAACATCACAGAAGTCTAAAAGTAATATCACATAGTCTAAAAAGTAACATCATCATTTGTAAGAAAGTAACATCACTACTTAAATAGTGGTGATGTTACTTTTTATACTATGTGATGTTATTTTTTATACTTCTGTGATGTTATTTATAAATAGTGGTGAAATGTTACTTATAAATAGTGGTGTAATTGCCAAACACACTCTTAGTATTTGTTAAGTGGAGTAAAACGTGGTCAATCCAATGTCACTTACCTCTCACTATAAAAAACAGCATGAAAATTGCACAGTAGGTGATTCGCGCCCTCTAAAGTAACATGTTCGTACTACTTCCTACTAGCAGTGAAGAAGATAATAACAACTTTTAAAGTCTGCACCAACTACATTAGATAACTAAATTAAATAGCATTTGTAGCTTAATAGCTTTCTTTGAATTAGATACATGTCCAAACTCCAATGGTTGCTTCAGTCTGCGTTGCAAGCAAACTAAAACCCTACAAGTACGTAAAAATTAAAGGGCAACTAAAGAACTTTTTCCTTTTTCCCTAAATTGAAAGTAACTGAAAAAAAAAATTATGTTTGGTTTGTGTGTTCTGTTCTGTTTTTGTTTTTTTTTTTAAAAGTAAATAAAAATAAAATAAAAAAACAAAAAAGTAAGAAGAAGAAGAAAAGATTAACTGAAATGAGTCGCATTACTTACTGTGTGATTCCTGAATTTAAAAGCAGATTTTCTGTTTTGTCTTTCCTTGTGTGTGGGTGTGTATAGATATATATATATATTTTAAAGATAAAAAAAAAGTAAGAAGAAGAAAAAATTAACTGAAATGAGTTGCATTACTTACTGTGTGATTCCTGAATTTAAAAGCAGATTTTATGTTTTTTCTCATTCCTTGTGTGTGCGCGCGCAGTTTATTATTATTATTATCATCATCATCATCATCATTATTTGGGTCAAGGGCAGAAAACACCCTAAAGTATTCTTACAGTACATATCACACCCCGCAAAAAAAACCTATAAAGTTTTAATTTAATCAAAATTTTAAACCATAAGTTAACTAAATTACCCTTACTGATCTATTTTATAAAATATATAAAAATAAATAATTTTGTAAAATGTTTTAGGAAAAAATAATAATTTTATAAAATGACCGAAAAATGACACTAGTGAAGAACGCCCCTCACATACAAAAAAAACCTATAAAGTTTCAATTTTGTGCAAATAGACCCCTCTGCAGGGGCGGAGCCAAGATTTTAGTTTAGAAAGGGCACAATGTTAAGAAAAAAAAAAAAAAAAAAAACTTATTTAAAGGAGTAGAAAGAAAAAAAAAAAAAATTATTTAAAGGAGTAGAAGGGAAAAAAAATAAGAAAAATGACAATTTAAAAAGGAAATAATAAAAAAAAAAAAATTAAGGAATTTGAAGAATAAATTAGGAAAAAACTAAAAAAATAAGAGATAATTTTAAAAACTAATAATTTGGGGGGGGGGGGGATTATATAAAAAATTCCATATATACACATATAAAATATATTAAAAAATCTATATCTATAGTGGGCGGGGCCAAGCCAGAGGGGGCAACTGCCCCCCTGGGCATATACTGGCTCCACCCCTGCCCCTTTGACAAATTTAAACCTTAAGTTGATTAAATTACCCTTATTGAACTATTTTATAAAAATAAATATTTTTATAAAATGACTGAAAATGACACTATTGGAGGACGCCGACAATGGACAAGTAAAGATAAAAATAGAAAATAAAAATAAAAGTATAAAAGAAAAGTAAAGATTAAAATAAAAAATAAAAAACTAAAATTAAGTGCAAACTAAAGAAAACAAAGGTGCTCCAAACTCCGAAAACTAGTGTACACTGTACACTAATATTGGGATTTTTTTCCTTTTTTTTTTTTTTTTTGGTTTAACAGTGTTGGTACGAAATAAAATAAAATAAATTAATAAATAGTAGAAAACAGTAAAATGAAATCTCAACAAATTTAAATCCTTATTCTACAAATTCTCAAAGTTTCCAAAAAAAAAAAAAAAAAAAGAAGAAGAAGAAGGTAATGTGCACATAATACCCCTATACTATGAGATTAGTAGCATATATACTCCTTTGGGCATTTTCGGAAGAGTAAAAGAGTAAAACGGGTATTACATCACTAATTTATGTCAGGAGGGGTATTTTTGCACAATGTGAAAAGATTATGAATATTGTTTGCACTCTTTTTTAAACATGAGGTAAAAGTGCTACATAAAGTATACTTTAAGGGTATTTTCTGCACAAAGTATACTTTAAGGTATTTTCTACACAAGTATACTTTAAGAGTATTTTCTGCACTTGTCCCTTATTATTTTTAATGCACCAACTTTGAGTATCATTACTTTGAGAAATTATTAAATGATCTGTAGACACCTCATTTTGCCCTTACCCATTTGTAGGAGCATTTATGCAAAGTCCCACTGAAGATCATAATTTTCGTTTTTATATTCACTAAATAACACTAATTTGAAAAAATTAGAAAATAAGAAAATTGATAGTTGGATCGTAAAATGGATGTTAATTACCATTAGGTCCAAAATATTCCAAAACTATAGTTATAACTAGAGTCAAGTTCGTAATGCAATTCTTGACACTTAATCAATCAAGGAAGGGGCAAAATAATAATTTATACCTTAACCTATTTAGATTTGATTAAAATTTAAAAATTGGTCTAACTTTATCTCCAAATAAATATATGGATGCCATCGTTGTATCCGAAATGCGTCAGAACCTTAGGATGAAAAAAATATATAACGTGAATGAAAAATAAAATAATAACAATAATAATAATAATAAATAAATAAATAATAATAAATAAAGAATAATATAATGAAACAATTGCCCAGAACAATATAGGTTCTAGGCAATAAAACTAAGGAAAATGATAACGGGTCAAAGAGTAACCCCAAAAAAACGACTGAATCTTCCGTGGCAAAGCTACGTCAGATTCTATAAAACCTCTTGTGTGTGAGTAAAAGAGCCACCGGCGTTGACCTTA